ATATTGTAAATTCTGAGGCTACATATAACAGCTTAGGTGTTGGATTACTTTCAATTTTATTGTTAAAAAATTTTTTAATATAAATTTTAAAATTTTTTTAACATTGTAGCCGCATAGTACTCAATTGGTGCAATCAATAGCTGATTATTTTTGTATTGCCAATGAGAGTGCATTTTTCTGTGTTTAAAAGAAGGTGCAAATGAATTTAAAAATAAATTCCTATATCTTTTCTAAAATAATATTTTAAAAAGTACACAAAAATATTTTTGGAGTACAGGCTGCAATAAATCTATCCATTCAGAAATTAATGCTATCGTGTAAAAAGATTGCAACACCCGTATATGAACTATACGAACACATTACCAAAACCATAGGCACTTACTTCAAAATTACCATTTCAACTTTTAAATAGCAAAGTGATTTTCATAATAATTACTAACTACTAATCAAAGATAGTTTTCCAAAATTCCTATAACGTTGCTATTGAAACTAAATTTAAAAATATTTTTATTACATTTTGAATTGAAGAACGATTAAAAATTAATTAATGCATATACCTTGTAAAAGTAATAATTTATGGACTTAACATATAATTAGGCGTTTGTATTGATTTCATTAAAGTAGTGGTAAAAGAGAAAACATTATTGAAAACATGTTTTAGAGAGTGAACATGTGTGAGAAGAAAAAGCATAATATTATGAAAATTTGACAAATTAATTGTCATACTTAAATTTAATTATAAATCAAATTAAATTAATTTGTTTTCAATATTTTGAATGTCAAAATTAAAATAAACATAAAAAGTTTAAAAGCAACACTAATCCAAATTTACAAGTAAACAAAATTAAATGCTTGTTCGCAATTTTCACAAAAAAAATTTAGAATGGTTTTCGTAAAAATTACAAAAAAAGAATCACACAACAAAACACTATCAGCCGAAGTTAAACACGTAATAAATGATTCGCCTACCGCTAAGGCAATTTTGCAAAATAATAAATAAGAACATTAAAAATTTAGCAGAAGTATCCTGGACGAAGACTCGCATGTGAAGGGTTACAAGGGCGCAAGTATTATTAACACTATTAATTAATAATAGAACGGATCTTAGTACATCAGCGATCTTGTTGACGAAGCGTGGCTTCTTGAATAGGTCGACAGATTGTTAGTAAGTGTCACATTATCTTTTTGTAAGTACATTGTGGCGATGGAAGACGTGAAATACGTTTTCTGTGAAAACTATGTCTGTATACTCTATGTTTCAGTAAACTTTTTCCCATCATTTATGTTATCATCAAACTTTTTGCATTATTACTACACTTCTGTGTTGAATTGTTGACCTATGGTTATAGGTCATCATTTATAAACAAAACTTCATAATATTAATAAAAATAATTTACATACATATGTATTTGTATAGAAAACAACTATAGATATCTTCCATGTGTAGCTTCACAATACTAATATTTAACTATAGTAGATTTACATGCATCCATATTATATGTAATATATTTTGGTTCTGAAGAGTGTATATGACACATATTCTAATTTATAGTTGAATAACTAACCAGTCCAGCGAATTTTGTTTTTATTTCATTCGAAAATATGCTCGGACGCATAATATAAATATTTAATTTCTCTTTCAAATTAACAAAATCCAATAAATAACATTGAACCAGAAAATAAAAAAAAAAAACGTAAATTTTAATCATCGAATTTTTTCGTGGATATGTTCATATGCCGCACAAGCATTTTTATATAAACAAGAAGAGGCAAGACAAAAAAAAATACAATATGAAAAGAAATTAATATTTTTTTAATTCACGTAATTTTACACCTGTGTTATAACTGAATCTGACTACAACTTAATTTTTCTCTACCAATTTATTATTATGTTCGAATTCACCAAAACCTCCTCATTCTATACCATCCTCCTTTTGCTCTTCAACTTCTTTAAATGTTTTATCTATTTGTTAGTTTTTTTTTTTTAATTTTATATATTTACTTTAAAAAGACATCTTCTAAAATATGTTTTTCGTTACTATTTCCTATAAAACATTCAATTTCCCTGGTTTCAATAATAAGAATAACTAAATTCTTAACTATATAAGCATAATAATATAGTTAATCTAATAAATTTTTTTTTTTAGACAGAAAATATTATAGAGAAACTAAAATAGAAATTGTACAAGGAAAATAACACTAAAGTTATAACTGCTAATGATCCCCTAATAAATCTTTAAAAGGTGAGATATTGACCTTTATTCCAATCCAAAATCTACATAGGTACATACATGCTTGTAGATAGAAGAAAAAAAAAACGTAAAGAGATGTTTTACCACCTCCAAAATAGTCGATTATAGACGCAGATATAGAGGAAGAAAAAGAAATGCGTTAAAAAATAAAAAACAAACAATAATAAATACACAACAATAAAAAGGCAAATTCATTAATAAATCGTAACTCACAAACTATAATACTTAGACCTCAGTAGTAGAAGAAGATGTTATGAGTATAAGTTACATATTATTATCATACACCTATATGTCTAAATATAACGTGCATGTACAGAGTGTATTCTTCCATTGTCAGTTCAAAACAGAAATGAAAGTCTTTAAAAACCGTTCGAGGATTGAAAATCCTATTAAACGCAATTTAATTAATTTTTCATGTAATTGTGAATAAGCTGTAATAAAAAATTAGTAATTCTACTTATTCAAGACAAAAAATGACCGCAAAGTATTGAAAACTTTACTGTTTTGATATAAATTTTTTAACTGGCGCCCGACAGTGGGTCGGGCAGCTATAATAAAAAGTTAGCAGTTCTTCTTATTCAAGAAGAACAGTAAATTATTCAAAAATCTTCATAGACAGTACAAATTTTATTAACTGGCGCCCCACAGTGGAGAGAGCAGTTTAAATTTAAACTGATACAAATTACATTAAAATTAAAAATAAATTTAATTAAAGCTTTTTTACTTCTGATTAAAAATGCAACTATACTTACGAAATCATTTCACCAAAGCCATCAGAAGACATTCGCAATCCATCAACATGGTTAATCATATTTAGTTGTGCGATCAACACATAGACAACCTGTTATAAGGAAATCAATATTTAAGACAAAATTGAAAATAAAAAAATATTCAAAATATTTATTAAAAATTTACCACTTTATTTACTTTTATTTCACACTTTCTACAAACACAAGCCAACCGTTATGCCAATGAACAATAGTGTAGGTACTCAGTTTTGTCGATTTTACTTAGACGTATGGTCGGCCATAAACCGATAGGATATGCTAATCTTGGGATAAAAAAAAAATTTTTTTTCTTTAATAAAAGATTTATGCTTAAGAATTAGAGAAGAAAAGATAAGAAAAACAACATAATTTTTTTTTTTAATTTTTGAGATTTACATTCGTATATCCACACTCTAGAGCAGTGGTCGGCAAACTTTTTTGGTCGTGGGTAAAATTGGTCAAAAATCAGATTTTTTTAAACTCATAGCGGGTCAGCGGCAATTTTATAAAAAAGCAATTAAAAAGAATAGTTAAACGAAAAGTTAATTCATTTATTATATATTAAAATAAATAGAAACATAACAGAAATAAATTCAATACACATATAATAAAAATAAATCAAAAAATAACAAAACCAATATTTAATATTATAAGTTCAAAATCAGTGACTTCCATGATGCTGTGCTGTTGCAGTTAATTTGGACAAGTTTGGTTCATATGTTGATACCTTAAGTCGGACACATTCATCAGAATGCTCCGTAGTCAAACTACTCCTGTTTTTATTTAATTACTCCTGTTTTTATTCATTTGTGAAAATGTTTGTTCACAATTATAACTTGATCCAAATGCAGATAAAAGAGCAAATGCAACTTTTTTTAGGCATGTAAACTTTGTTGGAAGAGATGCCCAGCATGTGGATATTATATCAAGATGATTTACTGAGAATTAACTTGCAATAAAAATTTTAATATTTGTTAAAGATTTTTGCTATTATGTATTTGTTTTATATACTTACTCAAGGCAGACAAATAAAAAAAATAATTTGTTTTTGAATCACACAAATTTTCAAACTAAAGAAATGTGAAAAAAGCAATTGAAACTTAGCACTCAATGTATTTTAATTTTCTTCTTTTTTTGTTTTGAGCATAGCAACATAAAAGTTATCACGGCTACTACGAATTTAAAAATTCAAAAATCATAATTTGTCAATAAATGGTTTGGAAAATAAAAAATTCTTTAATTTCGTTCAATTTTTTGTTATTTTTCTTACATAGATTTGGAAAGTTACTTTAAAAACTCGAAGCGGGTAACGTAAAATCATGCTTCGGGTCACTCCGTGACCCGCGGGTCATAGTTTGCCGGGTGCTGCTCTAGAGTACATTTATATTTTTTTTAAACATATTTATTGGAAATTATTATGAACTGGCATCATAATCTATCGTGACATTATAATCAATAAATTGTAAAATGAATATTTTTATTAAAAATATTATTAAAATTTACACACCTCCTATATATTATGTATGTTATAATATTGTATACGAGTATTATATACGAATATTATGTGCAATATGAATATGAAAATATTATCCACATAAAAACAAAATGTAATATATAAATTTTTGTATAATAGAAATTTGTCAACTCTATCAATATTAAATGGGGGAAAAATAAGAAAAAACAAAATTATAATTTATTATTTATCAGATTAAAGAAAAAAAATATATTAGTAATTTATTACATTTAGCAATACTCCGGTACATTGAGTCGATTTGACTGATTAAATTTGAAATATTTTGAAAATTGCTAGAAATTATTCAAAATTACAGAGTTATTATTACAATTGAGTAGAAATATTAAAATTTTTATTTTAATCAATTACTTATTTCAATATTTCATTCTTACAATTTAAAATGGAAAACCTATAATGGAGAATGTAAAAACAATATTTTTATATAAAAAAATCTTACTTTCCTTGTAGTTGGAGGAAGCCTTCAGTCGAACGCATTCACTTTTAAACTGATTGATTTTATCTGGTTGGCAGTGACGAAGGAGAAGTCTACTACGTACGTGTAATTCACCTTTAAAATCCCTCCGGTTTAACAAACCACTGGGGTCAAGTATAACGAACCACAATAAATAATGTTCTGTACTAGATATCGGCACGGAAATATATACTGCACTGGGTAACACCACTCGAATATATCGACATATATTAGTGAAGTAGTTCAACTTTGCGTCTGAATTCCAGAACATGGTACGTTTTGAGGAAGCTGTAAGAAAAATTTAATTTGTTTTATATTTTTACAGGTGGGTAAGGAACCGTTGTGTTCCAGCAACAGCAAAATTTAATTTACTTAGCGCAATTATGATGATTCAACAGAGCGGCATTGGTGCAGTATCATTATCTAGTTAGTCATCATGCGAAGATTGCTAGCGATTTCTGTAGAGACTATCATTAGAAGAAAGAGGAGAAGGAAGTCATCCATTCTTTTGTTTTTTGCACTGAGTCGAAGTTTGTTGGGATCATGCTTCTTTTATGAAATAGCGAATTCGATTAACATAAGAACGGCGGGGGTTGTATAGAATCCGGTGATATTAAATGCTACCCGGAACATTTCGTTGTCTTTAATAACAAATATTCTTTACTGTTATTGGTTGTTTTGTATAAACTAAATTTTTACACTTTAATAATCATGTTACACCAATTTCACAATTTTAACGATTTATAAGTAAAAAAATACATTATGTAGATGCAATATACAAACACAACAGCAATATTATTGATCAAATTATTAAAAATTAGTAATAAATTTTCTTAAAACCACAGAGGTTTTTTTATAATTCAAATATAAAATATTTGAATTATAAAAACCTCCGCACAAAAATATTTCATTCAATATTTTCTCTTAATATAACAGTTTTTTTCACTCTCCCTCTCACTCTGTCTCTCTTAAGCAATTTCAATTAATTAAAATGTCACCTCAAATTATAAATTGCAATAAAATTTAAATTATTATTTAAATTATATATACAAAGGAGATAGCAAGAAAGATATTGAAAGATATTTTTTTTATATTATTAATTTAGAAAATCCCCCTTTTCAAATATATATATACATACATATATCAACTTTTCCTACCTACATTATGTGTGGTTTAAGCTACGCATATAACAAACTTCTATCGTTCACATTCTAAAATATTAGTCGAGTTTGGTGTAGTGTAATATGCGGGCGAAAATAAATGATCACAAATACCTTTCTAGTTATGTAAGTATACCTGCAACCTTACTCCTATACCTTCTTATACTATACTATTCATTTACTAGGCCACTATAGAAAATATTATAAATCTTATATAAAAAAACCACCAATCGTCCACTATGATTAGAATTTAACCATCTAAAATATAAGAATTAAAAATATTATTGTATGTATTAATGTAGATATTTGATTATTTATCGATATAAATCAAATTTAATTTAATACAGAAAAAAAAAACAGAAGATAACAGAAAAATAAAATGAAAATATTGAAAGCGTTTTAATAATTCACAATAATAAATAAAAAAAAATTAAATAAACACCATCAATGATAAAATGAAATGCAGGAGCAAAAAAACACTGAAAAATAAAATAAGTGGGTCCCACAAGCGTTAAATTTTAACAGCATAATTATTTTGATATATCTCAATCTTATAAGAATTTATTGATTATATCTGTTTTATACATCCATATTACGTTATATGAATGTGTATACTTGAGGTTCTTTGCTGTTGATTCGTAACGCACGGTATTCAGATATGGTTGTGAAGAAAAAAATTGTCTTAATTTTCTTCATTTTACACTGTTTTCTTTCGTATAAATTAAATTAAATTGAAAGGGTAATTGCACTCATGAATCGAATAATAATCATTGGTTTTTCATTAAATCTGTGTACGGCTAAACAAACTACTTTTGAAATATCGCTGGACCATCAAAATTTTCTATAAATTCTTGTTCAAAATCTTTATTAGTTTTTAAATTAAATAAATCTTGGTCGCCGAATTAGTGCGATAAGCAACTGTACCATATTTACAACGAAAGCTTAAATGGTATACTGGAAATATCATTTTTGAAAGCTATCAGGTAAAAATGAATGTAAATCATGAATTAAAAAAAATATTTAGCAGTTAAAGTTAATGTAGTCGTTTCTCTTTAGATTTACAGGTCTTATTTGTAACTACTTGCAAATTATATTTACTAATAGCGCTGCATATTCATAAGGCTATCCACCTCTCAATCATATCCATACGCAGTTCAAATAACGGGTATACCTAAAATCGAAATTGTTAAATAAATAAAATTTCTAAAAACTTTCAAAAATCAAGTGTCCTATAAAAAAACATATATGTATATGTATATATATATATCTATCTACATACTATACTCACATAAATATCCATAAAATTATACCAAAAATCCATTATCAATTATTTGATACACATATGCGTATATGCTTACATGTATAAATACATCATAAATATAATTAAATTGTGAACTCTTAATTTAATTAAGGAAATTATGTCAAATCATTCTTTTTGATCATCAAACCATAAACATAATGACATCCGTACGAATGGCAATCAAAAAACCGTATCTATAAAATATACTTTTATACCAACTCAGATTCAGATACACACATATGTATGTATTTACAAATATAATACAAAAATATACTTACAGCCTTGGTTGTACATGTTCCGTGACTTCAATAATGCTTTAAAAAAGATTTAAGTACGGTATTAATACGGTATTAGTACCGTCTCAGAGCTTTCAATACCTTTACATTGTAAAAAAAACTACTAAAGCTTTTGATACATTTTGGAATACAATTTTTACCATATCAATACAACTTTGACATTTGTTTAAAAATTTCAATTTAAAGTTCTGTGCAAATGTTAATTTTAAAAAAATGAATGTGTTCGCAAATATTGTTGTAAATAATTCAATTGATTTAAATAGTAGCAGCAGTTTAATTAGTTGCAGCAATTTTAATAAAATTAAACAAATTATAACATTAAGAAAGCAAAAGAGATACTGCCTTTTTATTAATAAAAAAGTTAAGACAGAATCAAAAAGGAAAATTCCAAAAATAATTAATTTTGAAACTATCATTGATAAATATCCAGACGATGTGTTTTATAATCATTTTCGAATGACTAGAAACACTTTTGAAGTAAGTACATATGAGTAATTATAATCCAAAATAAGTGCGATTGTTTTTTTTGTACTCATTGTTTTTTAGATATTATATAACAAGTTGAAACCAACATTTAAAAATTGCTACCTTGGGCGATCGAAAAAATACAGCTTAAAATATGGTTTATATATGACAATTTGGAAATTAGCTAACAGAAATTCATTTCGCGAAATTAGTGACCGATTTGGAGTAGCGCAGGGCTCTGCTTATCGAATTTTTATAAAATGTGTCACATTGATAGCAAATTTAAAAAGCAAAGTAATTAGATTTCCTCGAACTGCTACTTCACAAAGGAAACTAATTGAGGAATTTGAAAAAATCCGTTGCCGACCATTCCCGAATACAATTGGATGCATCGACGGCATGCATATTAGCATCAGTAAACCGTTAAAAGATCCAATAAGCTTTTATAATAGAAAAGGATTTTACTCAATCCTTGTTCAAGTAATTTTTATTTACATACATACATATATGTATATATCTACACATATATCTACACATAGATTCTTTAAAATTATTTCGGAAAAAATATTAATCATTTTAATTCACAAGAACTATAGGAATTTTCATGTATTTTGAAAAGTCGAATTTTTAAGGCACAGCAATTACGAAGCGCCATGAACTTTAGCCACTCCTACCGCAATATGGCTACAAGGGGTTTTCAGTTCAGTGAGGCAATTCACAATAACACGAACCTATTGAATTTTTATTCATTACCAACAGGTCTGCGGTTAACTATCCTAAGCGTAATAAAAGAAATACCTTCGTAATGACAACTCCACTTCGTGTCCCTTCAATTTCTTAATTGGAAAACCGATATTAAATCATAAGTTCTCTATAGAACTAATTGAATTTCTTGTGCGCTCTTGAAATAAGTTCAAAAGTACATTCTGCTTCCATTTAAATTTAACATAATTCCGTTCTGGTACCCTAGTTCCAATAAAATTATAAACCTCTAGCTTAATTCCGCATAATCTTATTCACATTATTTTTAACTTAAACTTGATAACAATTACACTTATTTCAAAATTTAATTTGTTCATTAATGATAAAAAGGATAGCCAAAAATTATAAATTATCACGAAATTTTTTAAATGAAACCCGCTCATTAAAATTATAATGTTTTTTTTTTTATTATTTTGTTTGCCTTTTATTATAAATTCACTCAAAATTAAAATTTTAAAAACGAAAAGAAAATTAACAATAAAAAAAACTACGCAATAACATTTTACTGTCAATCAATTTTAAATGTCAGAATTTATTACTTCTTGGTTTCAGAAAAACGAATGAATACCTTTTCCTCTACTTTATATAGTTTACAAAATCAAATATGAAAATGAATATGGACGCATTATTTAGAACACCAAGTAACACAGAGTGTACAGTAGACAAAAAGTATGTAGTGGGCTGTTGAAATTCGGCTGTTGAATAAGAAATTTCAGACCTTGGTTCTAAGCTGTGTAACAATTTGTACCCCGCAAAACCAATTTGATTTCTTTTGTTTCAAGTTTTCTTTAACGTTGACATGTTTGACAGCATGATATACAGACGATACTGGTGATTAATATTAAAACATTATAATTAAATCAGTTAAAACTTTTCGATAGTTTTATTATTCTTTGGTAGATGGCTTAAATTCTCTTTAAACAACAATACGAGTGTAAAATAGAATCTTACCAAAGAAAATCAAATCAGATGATTGGGCACACTTTATTCTATCTATACATGCATATTGGGACAGAACACAAATTAAAGATAAGAAATTATGAATGAATATAAAAAAAAAAATATAAAAAATAAAAATGAATAAATAAATTACACGTAAAATGATGATTTGAAATTATCCAAACGTACTTCTGACATTTATGAGTTGTCAAATCACGGAAGAAGCTGATCATTTATACGTGTAATATACGATCAGTTACAAGAAATTTTATAATCATTTAAACATCATATTAGTAGATCAAAAAACTTACATTTATGTTTTGGGACGGAACATTTACAAACATACGCAAAACTACGACGTATACCCTTATGAATGTTTGTTTATGGACGTGTGCTATATACAAACGTCATATTATACAAGTAAATTATAACACGGTTTAATTTAAAATGTGTGGGCACTAAAATGGACATCATATACTCATAATCTATAGTCCATATAATTTAAATCTCGGTATGTTTGAATATTTTTCTTTTGAAAAAAAAAAAAAACAGAACGAAAAATGAAAAATTTTTGAATTCTTAATTGCCTTTCAATTTCAGAAAAAAGATGTCGGTAGTTACAAAAAATTTAACATTCAACCAAAAGAATCTACAATAAAAAAAACTCACAAAATGAAAATTAAGGAATAAATTGAAAAAAAAACATAACCTTGATTTCACGCACGTGCTTATTACCTTTTTAAGAAATTCTCTCTTAATGGATTTTATCCTCAGTCTCTTTTAAGGATGTTTCCTCCATTCTGTCTTATAATTGTTTTGAATATTATTGTGTATTTGTACGAGTGTGCCATACCATGAATATATTAAGTGTTATTTAAGTCAGATTTTCTGTTTTAGATCAACTTTTTGAGCCGCATTAACTAAAAATATTACGTTTTTTCGATTTTAAACGTAACAAAATATTAAACGTTTTCCAAGGAAACTTAAAAATTATAAAATTTTTATTTTAAAAAGCATTTGAAACGGTTATGCATTTTAAATTTTCCTTTTAAATTTCAAATCTTGTGAATGAGTAAATCAGAATTCATTACTGAGCAGAAATTTTTATGCATTTTCATGGAATTCATTCTAGAATCAATAAAGATGTTCTTCTGTTTATTGAGGAGTCAAAATTAAATATGATAAGTACAGACGTATAAGCTATGTAGTTTAAAAAATCATAAAGAATTGTAAGCAAAAATGCTACAAGCAAATTCAAAAAACTTCAAATACATAAATAAAATACAAGCCACCTGGTTCGCTTCAAACATTTTATTAATAATGGTCTTTTGGATTTTTTTTTTTTACCGTATCAACATGTCATTACTTTTCCATGTAAATCATTCACCCTATATGTTAGAAATACAATCAAAACTTCAGAAAAATCTTAAAAAACTCTAATATTATAGAGCAGAACTTTCAATTTTAAAAATATTTTGAACATGTAACAAGTTTTCATCCCCCTTAAAAAATATTTAATATAATGGAAAACATTTAATATATTAGAAAAATCTTGTATATGAAATTAATTGTGTGGAAAATATTTATTAAATAAGAATTTTTATTATATTTATTTACGTGGTTGATGGTTTTTTAAATTTTAGAATTTATTAAAAATTTCATGTAACTTTCATGAAAAGTTATTAAATAAATCGTTGCCATTTATATTTTAAACACAATATCATGTAAATTACAAATAACACTTACATTTTAGTTGATCTGTTCAGGATATCCAAATTTTTTGAGTCATCTTTTGTCAATACCGGCCTGAATATTACAAAAATACACGTTCAATATTGTTTTTAGCGATGCAGTTCATTTTAAATGCTTGATGTAAAGGTATTAATTTGCAAGATTCAGCCAACCAATTTTTAGTTCCAAAATGTTTTGTGAAATGCTTGCCCAATCATCAATATTTTCAGTATTTAAAATATCAGACAACTGTTTCTAAAATCAAACATTAAGCATATTTCCAAAAGACACAAAAAGCATCGTATAGTTGCAAATAAAAGTATCCCTGCTAACAAGCGGGATCAAATACCAAAGAATTGAAATTAACACAACTCAACATGGACCGGCATACATATTTCGTCTATAATCTGTAGAATAATAGCGAACACAAGTTGATGAATAAACACTATGTCAGCGACAACCTTACGATCAACATCCACATAAGATAGCAAGCTTAAAGAATCAAACCAGCCAATATTGCTCAAAACGCACAAATTTCCTCTGAACATATTCAATATAAAAAACATCCACAATATGATTTTGTTTCCACTTTCTAAAATCTCCAACTCTTCATCTTGCGCTTTCTCAATTAATTTAAAAGTCCTAAATATGAATTTGAAAGCTGCATTTTCTTCATTCTCCACACCTAAAATATAAAGAAAAAAAATATGCTTTCATCCTTTAATTTATGATAAAATGATAAAAAATAAAAATGAGAAAAAAGACTAACGCAGTTATCGCTCTTTTGAAGTTCGAATTATTAATTGTATTCCAATTTAATGTTTCATTAAATGCAATTTTTACTCATTAATTTGACAGCGCTGTTATACAACAAGATAACAGAAATGAATTTTTTTTTTAGTTACATAAACTCCATTCCAATCAAAAATTTTAATTTTCTCATAAAACTTCATTTAACGGTAATTTTCTGCTCTTTATATTTTTGTTGTCTGTTTCGATTCTGAAATTAATTCCTTGATTTTTGTAATCCTTTTCCTTCACTTTTTTTGCTTTTTTTCATTTGCAATTTTTCACTATTTTTTCTATGTAATCTTTGATGAAAAACAAAAAAAAAATTTTCCTTTGAGAGTAAAATAAAAAAATTTCAAATAAATAATGATAAGAAATTGAAAACTGGAAAATTTCATCATACTTTGCGTCATTTACAGTTTTAACACCCGTGTTCAATCTATAAAATTATTAAAAAAGAAAGTAAGAAAAAAAATGTTATTCTTATGTCATTTGCCCCTATTTCGTATGGTACACACAGTGTTTTTCAACTGTTACTCATTGATAGTAAATGAATTCCGGAAAGTAAATCGTGATATCGGTTGTTTACTGTAACACTAGTATAACCCAAAATTTGTACTTTTAAGAAAAACAAATTTTAAAGTATACTAATTAATATTTATAAAAATTTGTTAAGAGTTGAGTGAAACAAACCGTTTGAGTTGACAACCGTTTGTACGTAAAACTCTTACCTACCGGAAAAAATGTTCATATATCGGAATAAATGCTCCTCTCAACCACTTATTTCTCAATTGTTTCTCTGTAGTCTGAAAATCTGTATATCAGCTCGTTTAATTGGAAGAGTTACATCTCATCTACTTCGAACTGCATCAGTATGGTTAAAATATAATTTCGAAAATTCTCCCCGATAGATGGCTATTGTATTTCGCTCTATTAAAAATTTAATGTCAAACTCATTGTATGAATTAATTTTTCTGCTCTCATAATTATGGTCCAGCGACTCCAGTTTACGTGTTTGCTACAATAAGAAAAAAAAGAACTGATTGAAAAACGCTTACATTTTACAATAAAACAATCATTTTGAAGCAATCTTAGTTGTTTTATCCTTTTTTTTCATGTTATTTATTATTTCATCAACGTTATTTTCCGTTTGATCTTACTCTTTTTCTTGTTATTTTTACTTGCTATTTTTTCTACTTTTATTTTGTAATTTTCCTTGTACACTTTCGCAGTTCAAAGAAGGCAAAAAAAATAATATA